TAGATCTAAAGTGTTTGAGAGGTAATTTAGAAAAATTCTTACCTATCTCAATCTTGTTATGTCGTCTTGCAGAAGTAACTTATCAGTTTAATCTTGATTCATGAGAATTCCTATCGTATTTAAGAATATAAAAAAAAAAAAAAAAAATTATAAGTTTCGTACATGTTCTTATGAATCAAAGTTAGGCTAATAATTCATTGTTAGAAGATAGTAGCAAGATTGAAATAATCAAGAATTATTCTGAACTGTCTTTATAATAGTTCAGGTCTATGAAATATAATTTTCATTTTGAAAACATAATTAATTCAAAAATTGAACACATTCACAAACTTAAACAACCTTGGAATTTTAGAAAAAAATATTTTTACGCACTCGAAACCTTGAGCAAATATGTTGGCGTTTGAAACCTTTAAAGCATCTTTGGGAGTGCTTTTGTTTGAGTGAGTGATGTAAATTTTACAAAATCTAGCAATACACAGTGTGAAAAACTATTTTCCGGTTGTAATTTGTGAGTTCAAAAGCATGACTTTTTTTCCACGATAAAATGCGCAGGAATGATATTAAATTTAGATAAATTATTTTTGGCTCTTTCGACAGCTAAATCACGATGAGGTTTACGCAAAATGACGGTTCTTCGAAAGTAAATAGTCATGTCTTTAGTTAATGTGTTTTATTTACATGACAGAACGTCATACTTTTCGAATACTACGCTATTAATTAGATAAAAATATCTTGTTTATCAATATGTCACACGTCATTGAATTTTCATTTATACACACTTCGTTGTTTGTATAAATATGTGTGTCAATTGAAAACATCGTTAATAACAAGGTAAGTTAATACATATTCTTCCATTTAGTTAAATTATTTGAATTTCGTAGGATATCATGTACAAACAATCGACAATGATGGTTATATTCGCTGCACTGCTGCTTCTCCACAGTGTGGCGGGTCAAGATGATAAAGAGACCGGAGAAGTGAGCTTGACTAGAGAACAGCATCAAGCGATTGCTAATGGCACAGCGGCTGCTCTTGCAGTGGAGCCAGTAGAGGACTCCCTCGGGCATCGTTACCGTGTAACCGACATCATTTATTATTGGTATCCGTGGTCATATAAATATTACCAATGCTGGTGCCAATTTCAGCAATTCTTGCGATGCATGCGCCCCTTCTTCGAAGCATGGGCAAATAGACGTTGTTGGCCGTACTTCGGTACCTGGTGCTGTCCCGGCACGCGCTGGTGTTTTTCATTTGCCGTATTTCCTACGCATCGATGCTGGCAGTGGCCGATTATTCCCTATAAGACAACGTTGTCAGTGTATGAGCCAAAAGAACCGGTTGACGATGGAAAACGTTGAAGAAATCTAAAGTTGGCAAAATTGAACTATTCGATAATTCTGCAAGTTGCTTCATTTTTCTTTTCAATCATTCTTTCTAACTTTTCAAAAACTTGTTCTATTTTATCTTAATCAATAAAAGTTCTTGATAATGTAAATGTATATGAATCAGTTCGAACAATACAAACAATGTGCGAAAACAAGTGAAACTTTTTATATTTATCTAATTGCTCTTAAGGTGAGGTGCGGGTATGTGAATAGAATATTGACCGTTCCAGTTTCTGTTTTGTCAGAACGTCATCACGTGGATTTTCAAATATAAGGATATTATATTATAAAATTAGAATAGTTCAGGATGTGGGTGTGTGTGTGATATGATGATGATGACAATCAAAAGTTAACAAATCGCGTTTCGATTAAGCTTCTGTAGTCTTATCATCGCCAATGATTTGAAGAAATGATAAAGTACGTAATATCTCTTCTACTGTGTAATGCTATAATTAAAAGTGTTTTTAAGGAAACTTTCAAGCTAATAGTAAATATAATATACTATTATAAACAAATATGCATTCATATTTAGATTTTATTGCGCTTGGACATGTATCCTACGAGCTTTGCAATAGTTTTATTTCTGCTGTGAGTTTCCTCCGTTGCGATGTTGTTAGTCTTGTTTCGGTTTGGTTGGCTTGCAATTTGGTTGGTATTAATTCAACTTCTGGTTATTGTGCGTATGAACATAGTTGTTTTTGCTTTTGAGTTGATGGATGCTTGCGAGAGAAATTGTTTGTATGTATAATTTTTTTCAGATGGTAGTGATCATCTGAAATAGGAAAACAATTACAGTGATATAAAAATAAAACTATACACAAGTAGTTGTTCCACCTAAGGACCAGAGACCGTCACAGGGCAGGCTTTTGGTGCCCTGCCTTGTCTTGTCTTGTCTTGCCTTGAGGACAGGGCAGAGCTTTTAAATTAAGTATGCCTATTACAAGATGGATGTGGGTGTAGGGAGCAAATGAAAAGAATATTCACACCTTCATCCACATCCTGATTTCAGGATCTATCTCAGTACCTGCTCCATTTCAGTCGAAGACTCCATACTCGTTAAGGTCCCGTACTCATTCGAGCTTCAGTCACCATCCCGATACTAGTTCGAATTTGAGGTTCGGTCTCAGACAAGATCTCAGTTTCGTCCTCAGTCTTCGATCGATTTAGTGATTCAGACAAGGTGCCAGCATCTCCCTAGATTCCAGTACTAGCTCCCGAACACGTCTTAGCTCGCCGTGCCGCTTCAAACACGATCCTGATGTCAATCTTAGTTTTCATTCCGTTCCAGCTTTGGCACACTGTGCCGCTTTCAAACATAGTCCCCATAGCCGTCCCGGTTACATTTCCCGTCTTCGGACTAGGTGTGTCAAGGTTTCCCGTTCCCTAGAGTTCTGTTTCCAAGGAACGGAACTCACTCGAAGATTTGTGTCTGCGCATTCCTGATTATATTGAGACTTATGCACGTGCTTATTTTTTGAATCTCTATCATGTCGGTATGGGTTCCCGGATTCTCAAGAACGAAATCCACCCCAGGTTTCAGATCCCGGGAAACAGAACGCATCCCGGGTTCTGAAAACCCACTTGAAAATTTGTTTCCATGCGTTTTTGATTATGTTGAGACCTGTGGACGGACTTATTCTTTCAATCTGTATCAAATCGGTATGAGTTTTCGAGTTCTGGGTTCCAGAAAATGGAACCCACCTCGGATTCCGGGTTTCTGGAAACGGAACCAAAAACTGACACCCCTACTTCAGATCCATCCCAGTTGCATTCCTCGTACCAGGATCTGCCCTGATTCCATTTCAAAGCCTGAGGTCTATATTTTGTCGGCTCTCGATTTCAGGTCCGAACCCGGTGCTTGCCTCACTCTCCGAACCGTTACCTGTTTCGTTGCCCGATTCATTCCTGTTCCCTGCTTCAAGCCTAGTTTCCATGTCCGCTTCGATTTCAGAAACAGCTTCGAAACTAGGTTTTGTTCTTGTCTCGCATTGAGACCCGATCACTATTCTTCTCACAACTTTTGCAAGATTACCTGTTTACTTCACAGTTCTAGTCAAATTCTCATTTCAGTCCGAGTTTTAGCCGCCATTCTTACATCCATCTTATCTAGAATGTCGGTTCTACACAAGATTCTCCTTACCGTATTAGTTATAATAAGCATCCGAGGACTCATCCCCACTAGACAATTGAAACGAGGATGGTGTTAGTTTCAACACAGTTCCGGAGCCCCGTCCTCGTTTTCCAATTGAACCAAAAAACCGTATTGATTTCATCAGTGATGTGGAAGATCCACCCTCTTTCTCCTATTGTACTGAGGACTGTATTGTGTCCATCAGGGATTCCGAAACTTATCCTCGTTCCAGTATTGGACTCAGGACGGTATTGGTTGATTGAGCGAAAAAAGTGAATTGTGAATTTTGACGTCTGTGAGAATTCATAGGCTCTGTTTAACTAAGATGGGTCAAATTTCTGTGAAAGAAAACAGAAATTCATAATATTACGTCGAGTTCTTGGACGAATGCTATCGTAGAAAGTTGCAATGAGTGCTGAAGCTCTTATCCGAGGGAAGATCAGAGATTCAATTTGATGAGATCTATATCATGATACGAAATCGGGTACCTGTAAAAACTGCGAAGATCCACGAACACTGTCAAAGCTGCGAAAAAAAAGATAGTGATCGAAACGAATATTATACGGACGCCGATTCTGGAGTGCGCTTTTTTTCATTTGCAATATAGCCTCTTTTATGGACACGCACATTCATGATTAGTTTTATTTTTAATTATACGAGATGTTTTACAAAGAAATATCAAGATAACTAGCGTTATTTTTAAAAATTAAAACGAAGATAACCATGTGTGCCCATGTCGACAAAAAAAGCTGTATTTCGATCGACAATAAAACGCACAGCCCATTATAGGTGTCCGTATGATATTCGTTTCGAGCTCATTTTTTTCTGATTTGGGGTATTCGCAGATGTCTGTAGTTTTGAGAGATACCCTGTGGAACCACATGGTTACTCATGGAGTTATGTGAAAGATTGCGCAAGGTTTTGGATACATCTTATTCGACTTTGCGAGTAGTGAAGTTTATGGTGCTGGCTGAAGCCTAACGCAGTCTACTATTTTCTTTTAACGTTTATGCCCAATTCTAGATCTCTATGATCAAAGCCCATTTTTTCTCATCTTTATATGGATCCCTTAACTGAAATTTTAAAGAGAACTATAGAAATTTTCGTTTTTTGTCTGTACTTTCATTAAAAGTTCTTCACAGTCGAAGCGATAACTCATTTTTGTCACATGCGATAAAACTAACATTACATCTTTTGATCATGTGATGTCTGATGCCTTTGTTAGTACTGATGCTATTCACGTTTAAACACTTTCACGAGTTTAAAACCAAGTTATCTACTTGTTTTAGTCTAATAGAAAGCTTAAATATTATTCCAGCTGATTACGATCGAGAATTTTTCTTTCGTAGAGTGTTGTTTTTTTTTTTCACAATTATAATGGCTTTTATGAAACAAAAAAAAAAAATGAAGCTTATTTCTTAGACAATTATAGATAACACACATCACAAATTTTATTTCATATCTGACATAAATTTGTCTAATCATTATAGAAAATAATTAACTATTGTATCGTCAGTCTGTTGTTGTTGTCGATCAAGACATCGTTCAGCTGCATGTTCAGTTAATAAAAGTACTGAATCAAGAGTTTCTTTAGAAAATAACTAAAATTAAAAAAAAAGAACAAAATTAACAAAAAAAAAGAAAACAAATTTATTTCATTTTTTTTTATTTACTGTATAAAGTTGTTGTTTTCGACTATCAGATAGAAATATAATTAAACGAAATGTTTCTTGTTCTTGTTTAATTAAATCAAATATACGAAATAGATTGCATGCTAACATTGGAATATATTTATGACGTAAGACTGACATTTCAATTTGACGATTTTCATTGTCCGATAATGTCTGATGAACATTCTATAAATATAAAAATTTAAAAAAAAACAATAAAACTTTAAAAACAACAAGTACCGTGCTATCAACTAGCCAACCTTGTGGATAATCAAATACGTCATAACAAGCTTTTATTACTATTGGTAAATAAGCTTGATCTTCGCGTGTCGTAGTAGAAGTATTATTTTGTTGTTTTTGATGCATTTCAGACCAACGTTGAATGGCTTCAAGAGCTGCCTGAAATATAAAAACAAAAATATAAATTAAAGCAAACATCCGTTTTAAGATTCGAAACATTGTGTAATAATGAAAATTGAGTTTGGATGTAAAATATGTCTAGTCAAATAAGTTTATCTTGTCAAGAACCGATTAAGTACTTCAATACAAGATAAAAGTAAATAAATAGGGAATAAGGAAAGTAGCATAATATGAGGAGTATCTACTAGTCTTAAAAAGATTGCAATCAAAACAAAAATAACGAAGGATGTTTCAGCTTCAATTTCTTCACAATTTTTATATAACAATTGAGCTCTTAT